AGCCGGCTCTAGCTTTTTGCTGCCCAAGCAGCAAAAAAACGTTCCGCCCCCCAGCCCTCCCCGCCGAGCGCCGCGCCGCCCCCCCAGCTGAGCGCCGCCGGAACCCCCCCAGAGCGCCGCTCCCCACCGAACACCGCGCGCCGGAACCCCCGCCCCCGAGCGCCGAGCCCCGCGCTGCGCCGCGCCTGCGCCGCCCCCTCGCCGAGCCCCGCGCAACCAGAGCCCGCCCCCCCAGCGCTGCGCTGCCGGAGCGACCCCCCCCACCGCGGAATGCCACGCCGCGCTCCCCCCGCTGCCCCTTACCAGGTGCCACCCCAAGCATGTGCTTGGGTGCCTGGTGCCTGGAGCCAGCCCTGATTGCAGATCATTAGCAAGCTTGACTGAAAGGCAAAGTTCTATTCAAGAACATAGAATTTTTACTACAGGATGACTTGGGCTGGTGTTTAGACAGAGTTTTAAAAAATCATCTTCTCTCAAATTTGTCCCTCTGATAAATGTTTGGATGTTCCATTGAATTAATGGGAGTTCACCCATGTGTCAGAGAGGAGAATTCACCCTCAGTGAGCGAAAAATAAAATATTATGACCAGAAAATGTGCTTATATTCAGAATGAAATATTGTTGTAGCTGGACTCATGTGAAAAAAGAGTTGCTAGGATTAACAACCAGAGCAAGACTTTCAAAAGTGTCGGACTGTTTTAAATGATGTGAGTTTTGTGCAATGTGAGAAATTATAAGTAGTAAAATTATGACAATCAGATCTGTTAAAATGCTGATCTTGTGTTACAAAACTTTGCAGTCTTTTTAAGCAGCAAGCTTTGCAGTTATGTGAAAATATTGGCTTTGTCATTCAGATGCAAGTGTCTCAGATTAGTTTCTTTGAAGTGATGCACAAGCAGGAGGGAAAGCATGCATGATTTTTCATTTTTGGGCATTGAGGGGAGTAGAATTGAAGAAACTGGCAGGAAGTACCAATGTTACCAGTATATAGAAAGGGACATCACTAAAATTCTCAAAGCAATAGACTCATGACACACAGGAGGCTACCTTCTGATTTGAAACCATGTTGCTAGTGAAAAGAGAGCCAGAGTTTGAAACAGTTTTACAAGTCTTCCAATACCAATGTCAGATGTACTAACTCATGTGACGCTGGATCATTCCCTTCCACACGCTGATAGTATTTGAATACAGTTCTGTAACACAGATGCAGCACAATTTAAAACCTGTGCATTGTGGACATAAACCATACGACCCAGATTAAAACCATAGTGAATTCTTTAACCGATTTAAAAATACTAGTGTGAATGGGATTTCAGGTGTCTACTGCAAAGAGTCGAGTAAGTTGATTGTTTGTAGCATTCCTCCACAAACCAGTGTCTTGTCATTGAAGAGCCACTTTATTGGTTGTGGTGTCATCTTCTTTCTAAAAAATCAGGGATTAACGTCTCAACCAATAAGAGCAAGTTACAGTAGCTAGGGCCTCCAGAATGTTCAGTCAGCCTAAAATCTAAGTGCAGATTGATTAACTAGAGTGCTGCAGGCAAGATGGCATGGACTTGAGGCAAATTGATTATCAGATGTTCTGCTGAAGAAATACTAAAATGTATCAGAAATCATTCTGCACACCATAAACCCCGAATTCAAATGTGGCTTGAATTTTTGCAGTCCTTTTTATTTTGTAGTGACAATTTAAAAATGGATCTTTCGGATACCATCTCATATATGATTTTAACTGATGATCTTATAGGTTGTATTCAGACTGAGACCAAGTGATTGAACAACTTCATCCTTTTGCATCATTTCTGCTGTGACATACTGTATGTTTTTAGGGAAGGAAGACTATTTTACTGACAAAAACAGAGTTTTGATTACAAGCACGTTTTTGTGAAAGATATTAAACATTCGTCATCATCATTTCTTGTTATTTAACATATGTATTGCAGTAGTACGTAGAGACCCCAGAGAAGTCCCGTGCCCCATTGTGCTAGGCGCTGTACAGATGTATAGGTTATCTGCACCAAAGAGCTTCCAATCTCAAAAAGGCGAATTTTGACAGTTTTAGCAAAGGTCTGATTTCTGTTTTATCGCTCCAGTCCATTATATCTTTCTGTTAGTAAAATAAATAAAAAAAATCCTGAACAAAGAGCTAAAAGTAAGTCCTGGAAAACCAAGTAGCTGAATTAGATGAATTATACGACCATATGGTATGAAAATAGCTGAAAAAGAGCATCTCTTTACTCTACTTGCTCTGTCGTTTGTTTAATTTATTTTTCTTTTGTACAATAAAGGCACTGTCAACTTTGTACAAGTTGAAGCAGTACAGTAAATCCTGTGTCTTTTCCATCCATACAAAAAGCTACTTTGTCTCATTCTTAGCATTTTATTATAAAAACAGAGATTGCTTTACCAAACTCTGCAGGTTGTCTTGTATGGAGCTCTCCCTACATGTCCTTTATCTCTTTGGGACTAGTAGATGTAAATTCATTTGGTGACATTAGCCAAGTTAAACCACTCTCTCTTGTCTGAAAAGATCAAGGTCAAGGCTTTCTAAAGCGGCTAGAGATTTGGGAGCCCAACTTGCGACACTTTAAGATGCCTGATTTTCAGAAGGTGTGCAACAGTGTGTCCAAATCAAGCTCCTTTAAGATATTTAAAATTACACACCCAAAATCACTAGCCACTTTTGAAAAATCTTGGCTAACAATACTATATAGGATACTTGCTTGGCTGAATATTTAATAGGACCGTCAGTCATAACAAAACAAGAAAAAATGTCTTGGCCTCATGTCTATTTTCCATTTGGCTCAAATATGACAATAATTGTATTTCATTAGAGAAATGCAGGGACCACTGCTTTGTTTCTGGCCTGGATTTCTGCCACTAAAGTTGAAAAGCAAAGTTGTGAATAGAAGAGGATATGAAAAGTCAGTCAGTGAAAGCCTCAGAGAGCAGAACTCCTTTGACTAAACAACAGTAAGACTAAGATTTTGTGACAGATATTTTTAGTAAAAGTCATGGACAGGTCACGGGCAATAAACAGAAATTCACAGAAGCCGATGACTTGTCCCTGACTTTCACTAAAACTATCCCTGACAAAATGGGCAGGTGGGTTCAGCACTCACTGCTGCTGCGGCTTGGGGTCCCCTGCCGCTGCGGTCAGTGGGAGCTCTGGAATCCCTCCGCGCAATGGCTGACCAGCTCTGGGGGGGCCCCTGCCATCTGTGGCAGCAAGGAGCTCTGGGGGGGGTACCCTGCCACCTGCAGTGAGTGGGAGCTCTGGGGTCCCCTGCCACCTGTGGGGGCTGGGCTGCTGCGGGGTCCCCTCACAGGGTCTGTCTGCCACAGCTGGGCAGATGTGGGGGGTCCCCCCACCAGGGCAAGGGCTGAGAGCTGCGGGGGGAAGGGGGGGGCTGGCTGGGACCAGGACAGAAAATGTCACAGAGGTCTCTGGAAGTCACAGATTCCGTGACTTCCATGACCTCTGTGACATAATCGTAGTCTTAAACAATAGCAGTGATGGAACCTGATTCTTTTTTCACATACACCATTTTTATACTAGTTTAACACCATGGGGTTCAATAGTTACTCCTGACTTGCACAGGTGTAAGTTAAATCAGATTCAAGCCCTAGACTCCTAAAGTCCCACTTGCCCTGCAGGGTGAAATCTATTGAGTAGCAATATGTTCTTGTAAACTCTCTGAGGGATAAGATGGAATTTTAAGGCTCTGGGACTGTATGTTATGCAATTCTGTCTCCATTCCTCAAAAGCAAATAGGTTAAATAAATGGAGCAACACATTAGACCAAGTTTGCCACTGAGGCCTAGTTTCGTGCAGAGGCACAGAACCTCTGGGTGGCCTTCTATATCCTCCATGTGGTTTCTGGGGACCTGCCAGGAAAACAGCATATCCTGCAGGCTACTGCACAGCTGGAGGACAAATTGATCCCTTCCCCATAGGATGATGTGAGGGTTCCTCATGAAAATTTCCTACGCAAAACCCATTCCCGGGGTGGGAATGATTGAGCCCAAAATAATAAAAACAGAGCAGGTTTTGGTCATAAAAGCAAAAAAAAAAAAAAAAAAAGGCTTCAAATAGCAAAGGGAATTAATTAGACTTAAGTCATTGAAATGTGCTACTGCAATAATTAAACAAATTTCCATACATGCTTATTATTATTCTTTTAGTTCTCAGCCTCTAACATAATCCATCGAAAGCCAGCTAGTTCATCATTAAGAAAAGTGAAAATTTCCCATACTAGATAAAATGTAATGTTGCCCTGGACTTGGCAAATTCTCCCACCATGCATTTCTAAATAAAACTCTGTTTGTCTTATGGGTGACATCAATAATAAACTGAGAAACTTGTGATTCAGCAAAAGCGATGTGTTTTCTCCAATACATTAATATATTTCACAAAATAATGAGCTGCTTCATTTGAGAATTTATTTCAAGCACTGGACGATATTGTTACATATTAAAAAAGAACTCTGCTTTCAGTGTTGCAAGTTCTTTGGTATCCTTGACTTGTTCATCTGTACCCAAATAATCTACAAGTTGCTCAATTTACAAATTTACCAGAGATTCCCATGGACTCCTACTAGAGTTTGGTGTCTCTGACATCATCAAAGCTCCAAGAATTTGATGTTCTTTTCTCCAGCTCCTATTAAGAGCATCTTTTGGAGGAGCTTAGGTTCCTTTTCATCGTGATTTTATCATTGAAACTGCTGATGCATTCATCCCGTTGGTCCCACTCCTCTCTTGATCCCTACCCAAAACCCACTGAAGTCAATGGAAAGGCTTCTGTTGTCTTCAGTTGGCTTTGGATCATGCCATTGGAGTGCCACTCGTGAGCCCTAGAACGATGTCACTGTGCAACTCAGGCTCCACAATGAAATGCTGTAAATAAGAACAGGATAAGGAAATTTGGTGTCTAATGTGTTACGGGTGCTGAATATAGGAACGGTCAGTGTATCAGTGTTATAATATATAGTTTTAGCAAAACATAAATAATAGAATGATGGGGTAATGAAAAAGGCTACAGTCTTGATAAAGAGAGTGTGATGAACATTGCTGACAGCAAATATGTTTTGATGAGGATACCTTTTGCTGAATTCAAGAGCTCAGAGCATTGAACTTCAGGAGTTCTCTCTGGGTCTTAATACAGAACCCATAGAGGTAATTTGTTTGTATAGAGATATACAATGTCTTTGGAGAACAACTGTTTCTGGAAAGTTATTAAATATTATCTCAGTATTTATTTAGATTTTAAATAATAAAAAGACACCTCTCCAAGACTCTAGGTGTCCTAACATAATAACGTCATAAAGTTCCAGCAGGATTGATTTAACAGGAACTCAGACAGATACTTACAGAAACTTTTATCCACCCCTTCATAGTCTCAGCCCACCAAATACCCCATCAAACATGTCCACCAAATTCAGGCTATTTCAGACCAAATTAACATGAATCTTGTGTAGTGATCTGAATAGCATGATTTGGCATTATGTGCTTCCTTAATTTAGCAGCCATACTGTTTGTCCATTGACACTGATGCAGTGCAAGGTAGACTATGCGTAATCAGATTCTAAGTGAGATGGAAGTACATGTTAATAGTTCAAGCAGAATTTAGAAGACATGAATTTAGACTTTCCACTAGTGTTGTTTTTCTGGTGCAGCATGCCTGGGAGGACATACAAGTATGCTGGGAAGCCAAGTCATGTTGATAATTAGAAGAAAAAAGGAAAATCCGCCACCCCCTGAATTTTTTGTGGTAAGAAGACTTGTGGGAAGAGCTGATGCAGCCTTTGATTCTCACATTGAGAAGAAGTAATATTTTGTATATTGTTTGCGAAGACAGTAGAAGCAGTACAGAGAGGGATGTTAGAAAGGAAATTTCTGAATTATACTTAAGGTTTCTGGTTTTGGGGGGTTTATTTTCATTTTTGGGTATTTATTTTAAGCCATTTTTGTAGTGCAGCTAGCCAGCAAAACTGTGTGTGCATGCTCTCTTTATATATGTATATGTGTGTGTGTGTGTGTACATATTCTACAAAAAGCCACACCTTCATGGTATAAAAGTTATTATGGGAAACTACTAAAAAAGCTGACCTTTCCCTTCTCCCACCACCCCAGCCCTCCAAAAATACAGCCATCAATATGGTTTACGTAGTTGAATGAGCATAGTTTTGCCCTGAAAATCTGTATCATTGAATTTGCTGGCAGTAATATTCTGTTCTGTTTCCATAGTATTTCACATTTACAAAACAAGCCCTACACATTTATGCTAAATACAAAATATAGTTGGAGGAGAAGACACTCTAAAAATAAAGGTGAAGGGCCTGAGTCCCAGACAACAACAAAAACTGGGTGTTTATGTCAGACAGTGCACTCTGAAGAATACTGTGATAGCTTTATGCTGGCATTTGTCAAGAGTTATTGTCTGAGCTGATATTGCCCTTGTAAAGGCCTCATTGTAAACTGATTTTTCATGCCATTACACAAAGGAAGGTGGAACTCTTCCAAGTCCTGCACAACTAAGAAATATTTACCTTCCGCAACTCAGACCAGAACACAAGGAACTTATTTTCCAAGCAGTGCATGATTGTCAGGTGAATGCATTGTTGGATGAAATAACAGACTTATGTGGCTGAAGGGAGCTATCATTATTCATCCTTTTTTTCAGAGCTACTAAGAAACTTCTTTTGCTAGATATTGAATGGCTAGATAGCTTAAAATTATTCCACTCTCAGCCATGCTTTACTAAGGGTACTACAGAAAGTTGATTTTGACAGAGTTTTTTGCATGATGTCCCATAATGCTTCTTTAATGAAAACAGCTGTTAGATCAGTTTTTAGTGGCATTTCCCAATGCCATTCCTATGACTTGCATACCACATGCATTCAACCTCTTCCTGGAAAAATGGCCAAGAGGATTTGACGACTTAAACAGCATATGTGCTGTCATAAAAGAGAGTGTTCTGCCAAAATCCCCTGCACTGTTACAGGTTGAGACAACTTATAAATTCAAAAGAAGTCATTGTACCCAAAATACCTCTGCGTGTCACACAAACCTGCTAGGCTCTCGCTTGACGGTTGTAGATTATCTTTCCACACTCTGATCTCGAAAGTTACTTAGGGCATGTCTATATTACAAGCTTTTGCTGATGCAAACTATGTTGGCGTAAAGCTGTCACAGTATATTGCTTGTGCGCATGCATACTTAGCTCCTGATGATGGCATTGTGTGAACCCACCAGGAATGCTTGTTTCGCTGCACAGCATGGTGCACTATGGATAGCTATCCCTGTGTGCAACTTGCCACTGTCCTGTCCACTGTCTTTTGGGAAGTTATGGGAGTGAAAGGTGAGACTGGGAGCAAGGGAGTCAATTTCCCATCATGCAACTTTCTCTATCCCATAATGCCATCTATATCCCATAATTTTTCTCCTTTTAAAAAAACTGCACAAACCCACATGGCCCTTCTTGCTGCCTGCCATATTTGACAAAAGCATGGCACCTGCACATTTCTGCACCATTGTCATGAGTGTTGCAATCACAGGATGTATGATACTCCGATATTTGCAGAGTTGAAAGAAGAACCGAATCAGCGGGGAATATGACAATTTTGTGGAGGACAGATTGCTGTGGAACACATCAAGATCCAATTCAAAGTTGTTGGTGTCATTTATGGAGCAGCTGCAGATCGTGGAGCGCCACTTCTGTGTCTGAGAAATGAGCACTGACTGTTCAGGTCGCACCATAATGCAGGGTTAGGGATGACGAGCAGGGTCTGCAGAACTTTTGGATTCACTAGGCCACATTCCTGGATCTGTGTGCCAAGCTCACCCCAGCATTCCTGTGTTAGGACACCAGAATGAGAGCTGCAATGATAGTAGAAAAGCGAATAGTGATTGCACTGTGGAAACTTGCGACACCAGATTGCTACCTGTCAGTGAGAAATCATTTTGGAGTTGGAAAATTCACTTTGGGGGCCATTGTTATGCAATTGCTCAGGGCCATTAATGGTCTCCTGCTACACAGGACTGTGACTCTAGGCCACATGCAGGACATAGTGGATAGATTTGAAGCAATGAGGTTCCCGAACTACAGTGGAGCCACATATGGCACTCATATCTCTATTTTGGCACCAGTCCACCTGGCCACAGAGTAAATCAACAGAAGGGCTATTTTTCTATGATTATGCAAGCTTTGGTGGATCACTGGGGTGCTTCACTGATATCAGTATTGACTAGTCAGGGAAGGTGCTTGGCGCTTGCATCTTTAAGAACATAAAACTGTTCAGAACATTGCAAGCGGGGACTTTCTTTCCCAAATGGTGGGCTACCTTTGGTGATGTTGAAATGCCAGTGGTGATCCTGAGGGACTCAGCCTACCTCTTGCTCCCCTGGCTCATGAAGCTGTATGCTGGCCATCTTGAGAGCACGAAGGAAAGATTCAGCTACCAGCTCGGAAGTTGCAGAATGACAGTTGAATCTGCTTTTGGTAGTTTGAAGAGATGCTGGCGTTGTTTACTCACAAGACTCTGCATAAAAATCTAAGTAAAAAAACATCCTGATGGTTATAGCTGCCTCCTGCGTCCTGCATAATATCTGTGGCGGAAAGGGGGAAAAGTTGCAGCCGGGATAGAGAATGGAGGTGGAGGTGCTCTCTGCTTAATTTGAAGAGCCAGACACAAGGGCTATTAGAAGAGCTCAACCCTGAGCTATATGGCTCAGGAAGGCTTTGAAAGAGCACTTTAACAGCGAGCCACAGTAATGTGTTGCGGTGGACTGTGCTCTACCTGGCTCTGCAGTTTCTCTCACAGGTCAGTGTATGTGAAGGTGTAATTGTCCTTATTGTCCCCTGGTGTGGAGTGGTGGGGGTAGAGATGTGGCTTCTAGTGCCATGTGAAATATAGGGGTGGTGGTGGTGTAGGAAGGCACTAAAATGGAGTTCTCCATAGACTGCAAAAGGAGATGACTGTTGAATCTATAGATCCACAAGAGTCTGCAGCATCTGTATTTGATGCCAGAGAAGCCCCATTATGTCTTGATGCATTTCTCTCTCTCCTCTTCCTGTTGGTACTCTTACAGGGGTGCTGGAACAATTTGCATAGTGGGGGTGCTGAGAGCCATTGAACCAAACTGTAAACCCCGCATATGATGGAAACCACTTCAAGCCAGGGGGTGTTGCAGCACCCCCGCATGCCTAGTTCCAGCACCTATGTACGCTTGGCCCTTTTCCTGTCTGCTCTTTCCTTTTCCAGGCTATCTGCAATATTCACCCCTCCAGGCCATTTGCTCATGGTCTGATGCAGCACTGGCTTGCAGGACCTCATTGAACAGATCATCTGGAGTCCTCTTCATTCTCTTCCTTATCTGGGTCAGGCATTCTGCAGCTATGGAGAGGGAATCCCTCAGGGCTTCAATGGCAGCAGCTACAGATAAAACACACACAGGTACCATTGTCAGTACAATCACAACAGTAAGCAAAACTTAAGATTCAGAACTCCCTTCCCTTGCTCCCCTAAAGTTTTGAACAAGACATGCTTATTGACACTTCTGCTCTTCAGCCCCAGCCATGGTGAGTATGACCCAGGAGAGGTGAGGGAAGTGAGGAGGCAATTGCTCAGTTGCATGAATCTATGAGTACAGGGCAATGGCACTTGAGTACTGGCACCATGTTTCACAGGTGGTGGTGATTTTAGCTGATATTTGGTAAATAGCTCACTCTTAAGGGTAACAAAGTCACAGAGAGCATAGCTGCTGCTGGTTTTCCAAAGTCACCTGGGCCCTTATGCTGCTAGCCTGTTTACTGCAATAGTGCCTACCGAGTTCTTGCTTCCTGGCATGGGAAAGTGTCCTACAGTGGAGGATGAAATAAGGCTGCCGTCCCTAGAAACCTTTGAGAGAGAATTGCAGAGTACCTTCATGAAAATGTATTGAAATCCATAAGGAGGACTCAAAGGACATCCCTGTGTACATAAACAAACTGGTCCGCATGGCCTTCCCACCCCCTTCAGTCCCCACCTAACTCTGCAGCAGATTGAAAAGCAGATAATGCTACCTCTTTTAATATGAGTAAAACAATGAAAAGTTGATAGAGGTGTCCTGTTAAGTTGGGGCACCATTAGTACATCACTGCAATGGGAAATACATTTACACACTTACCTGAGGCTCCTTCCCCTGAATCAGGCTTGCCCGTTCTCGACTGCCATGACAGATTGGACTGCAGTGAAGTCTCAAAGGTCTTGGCTCGTAGCATAGCTGGATCCCCCAGTCACATGTCAAGTATGGTATGCAGCTCATTGTAAAAGTGGCAGGTCTGCAGCTCAGCAACGGATTGACTGTTGGCCTCCCTGGCATTCTGATATGCCTGCTGCAGCTTCTTCACTTTCACATGGCACTACTGCGGATGCCTGTTGTACTCCTTCTCCTGCATTCCCCCCATGCAACCTGCTTGTAGATGTCCACTTTTCTATGGCTGGTCCATATCTGTACCTGCACAGCCCCATCTTCCCACAGGCCCAGGAGAGCCAATATCTCCTGTCTGCGCCAGACCAGAGTGCGTCTGGAGCATGAGGCCAGCATAGCTGGGCAGTTGCACACAACAGTGGAGAGCTGCTAGGTGTGCTTGCCAAGGTGGACAGTCAGGAAAGGGCATTTCAAAAATTTTGGGTTTTTTAAAGGGTGTGGAAGGGCTTCAGGTCTATGTGACTGCTGGGCAGTGGAGTTCACATTTGTGTCCAGAGAGGTCAGTGTTTGGCATTGTGGGACAGCTGCTGGAGGACTGTTAGGGTCAATGTAGCTAAAACAGTCTCACACTGCATTGACCTCAGTACGTTGACCATGGTTCAGTGCTTGCTTATACCAGTGCGAGACAAATTTAAGTGTAGACACGTGCACAATTAGGTCAATGCAAGGCAGCTTACTTGGTAGTATAGACCAGGCCTCAGTTTTCTATTGAACAGTCTACCAAAACTATTCCACAGTGTATTCCTAACTGGAGATGTGTTTAGATTGTCCACAGTAATTTAGGACTAGATATTTAACTCAGCAGAATATGTTTTAATTGTACAAAAATTAGAAACATTTTCCATGAATCAGTTGGGAACAGTGGGAAAAATTGAATTTCCCCGACTTTGGTTTGTTCTGCAGTACTTAACTGATTAATCAGCTATTCCATTAGCATTTCCCTCACTGAAACTTGATGAGAAGACCATTTTCCATTAGGCAGATGTAAAAATATCTTTAAATAAATAAAAATCTTTTTGGAAAAGATTCCCATGCTTTTTCTGTTTCTTTACTCTTGCAAAGAGACTATGCTGAAATGGGGAAATCTCCAGAGTGAACAATCTGTTCTCTTCTGCTCCCTAAACAGTATGCAATTGGAGTGACCATTATGAACCCTTTAATGCATCAATGGCACCTAGACTATAACACTGTTGAAAACTGCAGTTTCTGTGCACTTTGAGAAGGATTACTGTTTCAGTATGTATTGCAGGCAGAGCCTGCAAGTAATTGAATATGAAATTGCCCAGAACTTTGGGAGTTCTTCTGTGCAATAGTTTTGCTATTCAGTCTATCTCCAGTGGTGTACATAGGAAGGAAAGATCTGCTTTTACAGAGCTTTCGCCTCATGTACTGGCCTTCTTGCCACTGTGAGACTGAATGTGTAACATTTTTTTTCCCTCCCTTCTGTAAGAACTCTTGTAAGAGTTAATCTCAGAAGGAGAATTCAGAAGAGAAATAAGAGTGGAAATGGAAACTCCCAGAAAATAGATTATTTGATTTTGACTTTGTCTGTTTTGGGGAGTTTAATAGCTATGTGAAAATTTAAAATAATAGAACATGTCCAAATATCATAGATTGTTCTTCTGTGCTGTGAAGGGGAGATCTAGCTGGAGAATAATAGACTGCACTTTTTGTTGATGAATGGATTAGATATTGATCAACTGGAAAAGAAAGAGGAAACACAAATAGTCATTCCTGCCAAGCTCCTTTACTTTCTACGGCTGTTTACTACTTTTGTTTTCCTGTTTTTGAGCTTTAAGAACCATGTTAACATGTAAAAACATTGTGATAGGACTCTGTAGCAAAACTGTCAGTACTTCAGTTAAAGAAAAAGTAGATATCATATGTTTATGTTTCCTTTGGATGTGTGTGTCTCTTTCCAACTTAAGAACTAAATGTGTTACAAAAACAGATGTAGTGAAAATAAACAAGAGCGGTCTCATTTCCTTCAGTGAAGAAAGCTCACAATTACTTGGCCGTAACATCGTACCCTATCAAACAATTTTGCTGACCGCAGTTTGCCTGCCCAAAGTGCTGGATTTATCACAACTGATAAAAGATCTGAGGTGTCAGACAAGAATTCAGCTGCACAGAAAAGGGGGAAGAGTGGGTCATAATGCAATAACATATTCTAGGTGCTGTTCTTGCCAACAGTTAATGGAGAAATTCATTTCACGAAGCACTGTTTATAGACTGACATCTGGAGAACTTCTCAACCTGGATCATTTCCAATCTCTGAGATTTATATGCTGTTCTTGCTTTTTTGGTAAATAGCTCACTTTTCTGCTTGATATAGTTTACTTAAATAATTATCAATGGATGTGAATGATTATGCTACTATGATTTTTTTCAGTCCTTGGGATGGACAAAAGTTCATAATAGTAGGTAGCTAAAATAGATGATCAGTGGGAACCCCTGAAACAACACGCACTCGTACACGCAGGGACACACACACACAAACACGACAATTTAAAGAGAACTGTCTGAATGTAAACATAAAGATCTATCAGATTTAAATATGTTGACTAGCACCCATGCAGTCCAAAGGTGTGAAAGGACTTGGAGTTGTAATGATATTTTCAGTTTGGTGATATTTGTCCTATGGAGTGAAAAATATTTTCAAAGGGTAAAAACTGAATAAGTGCAGTTTAAACCGTATAATCACCACTGTACATGTGGGACCTGATCCAGCTCCCTTTCAGGTCAGTTGAATGACTACCATGGCTTTCAGTGAAATTTAGAGCAGGCCCATTTCCATTTTGAAATGCAGAAAGAGAGACACCATACATTACTAACTCTGTCCTGTGTGAGTGGAGGCACAGACATGTACCTTCTAGGTGGATTTACTCTGCTTGTGGTAAGAACAATATATGTTACATGAAAACATTATTTATCCAAGCAAATCTGTAAATAATCCAAGGATTTGGTCCCACAGCATAGCAGCATTACACATTCAGTCTTTATTACTAATGTTAAAGCCCTGCTTTAAAAAACATTTGCTTTATGAATAAAATTGTATTCCTTTTGCACATATATACATAAAAATGAAGTACATTTTGGCACAGGATTGACACTGGGTAAAATTTTCAAAAGCATTTAAGTCCCATTTTCAGAAGTGATTTAGGCACTTAGGAGTCTAATCCTATGTATTTTCAATTAGATTTAGACTCATAAATGCCTAAATCGCTTTTGAAAATGAGACATAGGTTCCTAAACTATGTGGGCACTTCTGAAAATTTTCCCAGTAATCATATGGCAGTACGTGTTTCCCTCCTGACTCCAGGAAATACAAAGAGACTGATGCTGCTGCCATTGAAGCCAATGGCAAAATCCATCTTGGTTTTTACAGGGATGGGATAAGGCTCATAGTAAGGATGCATATAACAGGCCATGTACAGCTATCTAATATGCAAACCATTAGATATTTTGTACAGGGAGCATTAGTGCCAAAATCAGTAGAAATTGTATCCATATGGTGGGGGGCAGGATAAACCATATAGAAACAAAAAAAAAGTCAGATGATAGTATGTATGCATTTAGACTGGGACTTTCACAGGTACCTAAGGAAGTCAGGAGCCCAACTACCATTGAATTTCAATGGGACTTCCTTAGTTTCTTGAAAATACCAGCATCATATGTAAGGACACACTCATTAACACGGGTCTTTTATAACATATCTAAAACATTGAAACAAAATTAATATTTTCCAGGGTGGACACCTCTCCTTTCTTGAAGGTGTCCATGGCAGACAGGAAGCCGTGTATTCTTGTGGTGATGGAATTCAATGGTTCTGGAAATGTGGAGCACCATAGTATTCTACAGAAGATCTGTTTTATGTGTTCAGAAAAAATTGATCTCTTATTGTGTGATATGGTGGGTATCGTACTCCCCTCCCCTGGTAGTTGCCACCCCAGGAATTGCTCTTCTTTTAGTGTCCACTCCGTATAATTTATTCCGCTCCACCAACACCTGTATAGTGCAACACACCAGTCCTAATCCCTATGAACTTCAGCCGCTGTTCATTAGGGCCCTGTGAGGAAAAGAGATCTGTCTTCCTTGGGATGGCCTTCAGTGCTGGCACAGTTAGCACTATCCTCCCACATCCTGACGCTTCCTTCCTGCCTTTTTATCAAGCTCATCAGCTGATGGGCCAATTAGTTCCTTAATTCACCTAGCTTCCTTGTCTGTTTAGCTACTTCTTCCCTATTTCCTCAATTAGCCGTTGCTGGGGAAACTAATTGAGGCTACTGTGATCAGAGTGCTGACCCGTCTATTAGATCTGAGTACTCTGTCATATACTGTAAGAAAGAAATCCTACATCTCAATTTTTTCCCCCATCTTGCCTCTTCCTTCCGCCAATGGTATGCACCTCAGTGCATCTGTCATTTCCTCCTTCTGAGGAAGCTGAGGTATAATTCTCTACCCTTCCTGGTGCACAAGTTTCACACTTTGTCTTCATTCAAATCCCTTTTGAAAATTCACTTCTTCCATGAGCTGAGCAAATGCTAAACCTCACCAATATAATGCCACCATTATCCCAGTGTGTGGGGAAAAAAATTTCAGAGTTAATGGCATCCCCATCTTCTGTGGTGTCTGATCTTTAGCTTAAATGTTCTTTAGTACAAGGATCAAGGGTAAAATCCAGCCTTACTGAAGTAAATAGCAAAACTTCCATTGACTTCAATGAGGCCAGGATTTCACACCCATGTTTTTGTTTGTGTCTTGTACAGCTGTGATCAGTGTCTACACTTACAACATAGTATTAATGTCTTGTTTTTATATAACAGCAGATAAAGTGACCCAACATAAAATACTGGTATACTTACAAATTCTGTTGAAGGGTAGGGAATATGTTGAATTTATGTGTTGTAAATGAGGTTGATAGTATGTTTTCCAGTTCTTTCAGAGCCTGTTTGCTTTGTGTGTAACCTATGCAGTCCCCCAGTTTAAATGGTGAAATTCCAGTTCTCACTGTTCTCTATCAGGAAAGTAAGGTAATGGAAAAAATGAATTTTGCTTTTAGTGCTGGTACGTTTTGACAGTATCAGTTGACAAGTAAATCTTAACAAACCTCTGACATCAAAACCAAGAGCAGGAAGTCCCGCTTCCTTCCAACCAATAGCATGGGGTGCCTAAGGGCAAATAGACATTTTCCGACTCTGATTCAGTTACCATCAACTGGAAAATAGTGCTAATGACTAATGAAATAGTTTGGCATCAAAAGCCATTAATTCTCAAGGCCACATAACCTATAGAGTTTCAGTTTTCAGAGCAAACTTTTCAAAGTTCTTTTATTTGTCTCCAGAAACCCACTATGCACTAATGGGTTATGTGACTTTTCACTCATAATCTCAATGTTTAATACATAATACCACTCTCAGGTTGCTATTTGTATGGATCTTTAATGATTTATCATGTATTTACAGGTTAGTGTTTGACAGGATAGATTTTATCTGAGGGACAAAAATTACAAGTATCCTAATTTGAATTTTAGAGGAATAGTTTCCAGTTCTTTAAGTCATATAGTTTACATTTTACAGTCACAGTTTGCAGGTGGGGTTAGATGTGCTGGAGATTAACAAATACTTTATTTTCATTGGATGTATGTATATTTATATTTAACGTGTTTTTCAGTAGCAATGTATTACAGTATATTAACATATCAGAGTGTTCGTATTTCCTGTTATCAGATTTGCCCTCCCCACTTCTGTTTTGCGGTGGACATTTTAGGAATTGCTGCTTGTGCTAATACCTCTCTTTTCACATTAGGTTTACCACTAGCTCCCAAAACTCCTCCCCTGAATTGAAAGGATAGGAGATTGAACCACCTCTGAAACGACATATTGAGTCCATGACACATCACAAATTGGCCGGCAGGGCATATTTGGGGTAGAGTAGCTCATGCCCTTCTCCCTTTCCTGAAAACCAAGAATGCTGGGTCAGGTTTTTCAGTGGTGTAAATCAGCATAGGTTTATTGCACTCAGCAGAGCCACCTTGATTTACATCAAATGATGATCTGGTATATTATCAATATTCACTATGTCTGATCTTCACTGTGTTAAAAATTAGGGATCCCAAAGTTGCTGCAGAAGCTGTATTTTCTGCCAGGCAGTATGCTCTCTAATGCCACTGGGCTGGCATATTTAATTTTTGCAAATGCTTTGTTCTTTTATTTTGCAATGAGAGAGATGCTATATTGCCACAAATCAGGTATCCCATTCATGGGGCCTGGAATAAAACATTTATTTTCACAACAGCGGAAATGTATTATATACAGTAAACATCTTTGTTGTTTTGAGTTAGGAGTTAATATGATGCTTTAAAAAATGCACTCTTGCAATAGACAATAAAGGATGATTTTGAACACCAGGCAAAGCAGTTTGTTTGCTTGCTAGTGGTGATCTCGGGAGGACACTAATTTTCACTCAGAGAGTGTGTTGTACATTTAGGTCCTGATCCCGCAAAGTACTTAAGCACGAGCTTAACTTTAAGCAGGTGACCATATGCTTGCAGTTAAGCACAAAGCCTTTCATGGACTTTTGATCAAGTGTTTGATTTGAAGCTGCTGAGAAAAATAAGAGAGGCCTGCACTGCTGCATTAAAAGAGAAAATGCATAAAATATGCATCGCTTCTGCCCTGAGAAAAGTTTCAGAAAGACCACGATCTCTGAGCTGGGGTAAAATCCCAGTAACTTCATAAGTTCTTCCTTTCTTCCAGATCTACATGAGTACAATGGAAGCTGCCCATGTAGCTTTCTATTGAAAATAACAAACAGCATGCTCAACACTCATGCTGTATGCTATCTTATTAGCTATGTGCATACTCCACCTTCTCTCTGCTGTTGGTCCATCCTTGTGATCAAGGACATGGTGTTAAAACGTAAAAGGATTGTGCTTGCTGTGTGTGATATTGTGTATGCATCCAGTTCTTTGTGATGATGCATGGGTGTTCATTTCTGTTTTAGCCACACACATCCTGCAAGGAAATGTGAAACGTGGAAGTATATTTCTCCCATAGTCCTATTTCCGTTGCTCTGCCCCTCCTCCCTTCTGCTTGTAGTGTCTCCTTCTCTTCCTTTGTTTTCTGGCTTTCTTCAAGTCGCCCTAAAAAAGAGACAGTTATGAGCCAGCAGGTTCAGGCCTTTACTCCTGAGTAGCAGCCCTTTCCCAGAGGCATTGGTAGCAGCATTTTCAAACAGACTTGAATCATCCTAATCCATTTCAAACTGCTGCAGCTAGCTCCAGGCGAGCAGTGGCACTGGTAGACAGCTGGTTCCTTTGTACTAGATTTTCCCTTTCTTAATATTTTTAATAACAGTTTATATGTGTTTAACGAGATAGTTGCAGGTAGTTACTTAAACATGCAGTGAAGTAGAGAAGTGGAATATCTACATGAAGTCATACAAGTAAATATTGCAAACTACAAAAGAGAAAGTATGTCAGCCTATCCTGGGATCACTTCTGACTTCAAGCATCCTGCATGGCAGTGTGGTGCTGGGCAGTGCAATATGTCATGGTGCTACAGCAGAAAGTATTGAAAATCAGTGTATAATCACATGTCCAAAAAAAATCATCATGAGACCCCCTCTGTGGCAAACTAATGGTCCTCGCAGGCTTTGCTCACTATAGAATTATTTCATACATACTTGATCTTTCATTACTATACCAGGTTCCAGTGATCGGATACTTGACACAATTCATGCTAAGACCTATTTCTATCCTTTGTGTAAAGTGAGTTTTACGTACGCTATAAGTTTAACATATTCCTTACATGGCACAAATGAGTAAAGTGAGGAATCACCAAGGCATAATCAATATACTAAATAGAATGGTAGTAGCTCGCTCTCTAGTCAAAGTATTTTTCACCAAGGGTTAAACTGCAGACCATTCAATTTCATACATTCTTTGAGACTCTTGCCACTTTGTTTATCATCTCTTGTTCGTGTTTATGTTCTGGTTGCCTATGCTCCACATGAAGGTATTCTATTATGTTTTCAACCAGGTGGCTGTACTCCCATCCCAGAATCTGACCTGGAGGAAAGGACAGGTGTACAGGATTCCACAACAACTTTTACCAACCACAGGCACTTCACAAAGCAGAAATCCAAAACTGGTAAGAGAAGGAAAATTATTCACTTGTATTTCAAAAACAGAACAAATCTAACTCAGACCTTGTGTATGGAGGGAAAGGATTAATTGACTGAGGTGTTTCCAATTATGTTTAAGTTTCTGATTAGTAAATGAACAGCACTTTTCTAGAAATACTTTTTTCCTGGTTCAATCAAATCATTTTATAGGATCCTGTAATTCTTTGGATTTTTTCTTCCAGGGCCTTCCCTTCAGAACTGTTGGCAATAGGGTAGAGACTTCTAGCTGAGGTGAATAATTTCTCCTGAATTGAAAAGATCTGGTGCTTTAACACGATATGTATGAGGTAGCTGAGGACTTTAAACCTGACCTTTCTGGAAGTTGAAGGTTAGGTAGAAATGAAGGTTATTAGGATATTTCAGCTTAATTAAGGTTTTTATTGTTGGGACTTAGTGCCAGTTGATTAAAATTTGGTCATTACTTACGGTTTGTGGGAAGACTTCCTAGAATTTCCGAAAAAAATATTACTGGATATATCAAACAATATTATATTGGATGTAAAATACATTCCAGAAAATGTGTCATCACTGTATGCAAAGATTTTATGATGCTGGAAACTATGATATGGCGTTAATTTATTCTGAGAGTAAGAATGGTAAACAAATGCATTGTGGTTTAATAAAGTGTCCCATAAGATGCTTTCCATTTTATTTACTTAATTATGTTTCTGTTAAGTGGCTTATTTCTCATGATCAGTCATTCTAAACGTAGGAGATCCTAAACGTGATTTGTTTATTATTCTACTTATTTTCAGATTTCTCTAAAATATAATCAACTCTTTAATGAATTATTTTATTTATGTATGCACTTTTAAAACAGGGTAATGTTTACTTCATTAGAAAGGTAATATTGAGAGATCTGTTTAGAATGATTTTTAAAGTGGGACAAACATGTCAGCATTCTTTTTGTATACACATATGTATGGTATCTAATTTAAATGGGTACTAGTCATTCATACTTTTCTCCACAGCATTGCATTGAAAGTGGTTTTGGATGTTAGAACTAAATAAATTCACATTCATACTACCAGGATGGTGTCATGGCACAAATCTAAATGGATGATGAAGGCGGGGAAGAATGGCAAGTGCACTCAGGAGTTGAAAAGCTAAGACCTGATCTATACTTAAGATAGGTCAATATAGCTATGGTGCTCAGGGATGTGAAAAATTCACACCCCCTGACCACTGCAGTTAAGCCAACCTAACCTCCAGTGTAGACGCAGCCAGGTTGATGGAAGAAATATTTCGTAGTTATTGCTGCTCGGGGAGGTGGATTACCTACAGTGAAAAACCCTATCCACAACCATGGGAACCATGTACACTACAATGCTACAGCAGCATAACTGCCGTGCCATAGCTGTGCTGCTGTAGCACCCGTAGAGTAGACATAGCCTAAATGGTTATAAACTAGGCAAATACAACTTAGATGGGGCTACTATAAGGTGGGTGCATAACTGGCTGGATAACTGCATTCAGAGAGTTGTTATTAATGGTTCCCAATCCTGCTGGACAGGCATAACAAGTGGGATTCCACAGGGGTCTGATTTGGGACTGGCTGTGTTCAATATCTTCATTAATGACTTAGATATTGGCATAGAAAGTACGCTTATTAAGTTTGCAGATGATACCAAACTGGGAGGGATTGCAACTGCTTTGGAGGGCAGGGTCATAATTCAAAATGATCTGGACAAATTGGAGAAATGGTCTGAGGTAAACAGGATGAACTTTAACAAATGCAAAGTGCTCCACTTAGGAAGGAAAAATCAGTTTCACACATC